GTGTGTGTGTGTGTGTGTGTGTGTGTGTGTGTGTGTGTGTGTGTGTGTGTGTGTTTAAAAAAATTGACACTGCTTACAGGAATCTTTGGCTATTATAGGTCAGTTTTTACATTTTTTTTTTTTTTTTTTTAGAATTTTAGGTTTGTGAGTAGGCTGGTTGCAGTTTTAGAAAAATAACATTTTACTTCTCTTTGCATAAAGTGCTTTTGTTTTAGTCAGTCAGTATTTATTAAGCACCTTCTATGTGCCAGGTAACATATTAAGTGCTGGGGATGCAAATAATAGAAAGAATAACATTCTCTGCTCCTCCAGAAGCTTATAATCTAACGGGATAAGACAGCACACAAAAGGAAACTGAAAAATGAAGAGGAGATACCCAGCTCTTGGACATGATGGAAAACTCCAAGGAGGTTTAGATGTCAAATGACTAGTCTGTTCATTGAGGCTTCAGAGCTAGACATTTCATTAGAAGAAATAAAGACTTCAGTGGAATTTCAACATGGAAAAAGGAATGTGTAGTCCGTCTAAAATCTAATGTCACAGAGTCACATTTTCTTGTATTTGGTACAAGTTAAACATCCATGTTGATACCTAATTAACAAATAACTCATTTTCATTTTACTTTTTTGCCAGCAAAATATTATTTCTTTGACAACTACTTTGACCTTCCTGGAGCCCTTCTCTGCGCCAGAATTGTAGATTGCTTAACCAGGGTAAGTGTTGAATCAGAGCCTGCTTTTTTATATGCAATCCTTGACTATAACTTTACAGAGATGTTGATACCTTTTGAAGTAAGGTTTTACCATTCTATTTATTAGTAGCATTTTTCTCTTTTGTAATTTCAGTGGTGATTGAAAAAGACAAATGCCAAATATTTTCTCAATATTTTGGGAGAGATTAAATAGTAATTTCCTTTTTTTTTTTTTTTTTTTAAACCATAATGGAGTTAATCTCCAGCAGGGGGTGCAAATGTTTAAAACAAGAAAATATAAAGCAAGGTAGTCTGACTTAGTATTTTTTCATAATTTCCTAACTAGAATGAAATATATAAAGGTAACTTAGAAAATACCACACATTCATATAATTTTTAAATGAGAAAATAAAAAAGTAAGTTGACCCAGGATCATAGGATCACAGAATTAGAGCTGGAAAGATCCTTAGCAACCCCTCCTTTTACAGATGAGGAAACTAAGGCTGAATAAAGGGTTTTTTTAAATGTATTTATTTTTATTTTTCAACATTCACTTCCATAATCTTTTGATTATGTTAACTGTATAGCTGTTAACCCTATGCAAATTTTCTCCCCTTCCCTTCTCCCCCTCCCTCCACCCCAAGATGGTGCATAATCTGATATAGGCTCTACATATACATTCATATAAAACATATATATTTTCACATTAGTCATGTTGTAAAGAAGAATTAGAACCAATGGGAGGAACCACAAGAAAGAAGAAACAAAACAACAACAACAAAAGGAGAGCAAATAGTATGCTTTGATCTGCATTCAGACCCCATAGTTCTTTCTCTGGTTGTGGACAGCACTTTCCATCATGAGTCTTTTGGAGTTGTCTTCCATCCTTGCATTGCTGACAAGAGCCACATCTATGAAAGCTGGTCATCGCACAGTGTAGCTGTGTACAGTGTTCTTTTGGTTCTGCTCACTTCACTCAGGCTGAGTAAAGTTAAATGACTTTTGTAGTCAGGTAGCCAGTAAGTGTCTGAGGCAGGGTTGAAACTAAGGTCATTCTAACTCCAAGCCCAGTCCTCTGTCCACTTGCACTACTTTTAAAAATGTATTCTTTATAGTGTTATTGAATATAAAATATTTTTCTATACCCAAATCTGTGTGTTTCTGTGTATTCTCCCTTCCTTTCATCAGTTCTGATGAGTGATATTCAAGTGTGAACCATTCTCTTCACCTCCTCCTTCTTGTTTGTGGAGATGTCTACTTTTCAGTCTGATTATGTGAGGTAGTTTTTCCTAACCTTCCCCTTCCCCTCCTCAGTGTATCCCTCTTCCGCAGCCTATTCATTCTTCTCTTAAGATCATTACCACTCCCAGGCCTTGTCCAACTAGTCTTCCGCTATCACCCCAATGATGAGAGGGTTCATATGAACACATGTATCATCTCTTCATATTAGAATGTAAGCCATTTTTCCTTGTTCAGTCATTTCATGTTTACTTTTTTATTTTTCTCTTAACTCCTATGGTTGAACTTTAAAATTTCTACACAGCTCTTAACCTTTCTCATTGAATCTTTGCCCAAGCTGTGTTTTTCTTTGAGACTTTGTTAGATGTTTTAGAATCATTCTCTACTTCAGGGTTTGCATCTTTAATGTCCTCCATAATGTGAAATTCTTTTTTTGTTTCCTCACTCTTCCAGCCTGCTTCCTAACTTAGGACATGGTGTTAGGGCTGAGTTCTGTGCGCTTCTGGAGGAAAGGTCTGTGCTGGCCCTTTTGCTGCTTTCTTGAGTGTTCTGTTCTTCCAGGATTTCAGGGACATCTCATATTGGAGGCCTATAAACTTTTGATGCCTGCAAAGTGGTCTGATACACCATTGTAGACCTCCTTTTGAGTTAATATCGAACTCTTAATGACTGTGCTTTGAGTTTCATCTTTCAATGAGTTCTGAATATGTGTTACTACCATATATTTTCAGTATCTTGTCCATAGGAATTCAGATTTTGTCAAATGCTTTGCTGAAGTCTATGTAAGCTGTTTCTAAAGTATTCCGATGATCCACCACTCTAGTAATCCTATTTAAGCAAGAAATAAGGCCAGTTTGGCATGACTTGTTCTTTCAAAAAAATTGATGCATTTTGTCTTAATATAACTGATATTTCTCTAAAGAAAATCCCCTTTCTCTTCCCTCCCTCCTTCAAATTGAAACCTTACTTAGGAGGGCAGCTAGGTGACTCAGTGTCAGGAGCACTAAGCCTCCAGTCAGGAAAGCCTGACTGAATTCAAATCTAGCCTCAGACTTCTATTAGCTGTTAGCCCTATGCAAGTCATTTAATCTTTATTTGCCTTAGTTTACACAACTGTAAAATGGAGATAATAACAGCACCTACCTCCTGGGGTTATTGTGAGAATTAAAGACATAATATTTATAAAGCACTTAGCATGGCACCTGGCGCATAGTAGGCACTATATGAATTATGACTTCCTTCTGTTTCCCTCCCCTATTTAAGCAAAAACATTTGATATAATGACCACATCTCACAATGTATACAACATTTTGCTCTAGTGGTCATCTGTCTTTCTGGAGAGGGAGGTATGCTTCATTATCTCTTCCCAAGGCCAATTGTTTTTCAATTACTCCAAAATAAAGAGTATATTTATTACTCTTTTGGTTCTACTTATTTCATTCTTTATCAGTTAATATGCATCTTGTTTCTCAGAATTCCTCATATAATTTCTCACCACACAATAATGTTTCATTACTTCCTAATATTATAGATCATTTAGCTATACACACACATACATACATACTCATTAGCTGTTAGAGCTTAAAGCTGCACAAAGACCTGGGGACATCCTGCCTACACACACACACACACACACATACATTTATGCCACACATATGTGTATATGTATATTCACATTTATAGATGTGTGTATATAATAGGTTTGGAACAACAGCTGTCAAAAGTGGAGTATGGAATCAATTAAAGAAAAGTAAAATGATGCCTTGCTGCAGTCAGGGCTCCTTTGAGATTAGATAACATAAATTTGTAGTAGTTACAGTTAGGAAAGTTGTTGGACTTGCTTTAGCTCTGCTCAGAAATATGTGAGTAGGAGTGGAAGAGGGAAATGGTGGAAATAATCCAGGGTTAGGGTTTAGAAAGTTACTGTCCTATAAGAAACAACAAGTATAAACAACAAACAAATATAAGAATATAGAGAAGCTTGGGAAGCTATATATAAACTGATGCAAAGTTATCTCAGTAGAGCCAGAGAAACCATATAGACATTGACTACAATAACTTAAATGTAAAGAAAAACAGCAACAAAACAATCTAAACTCTGTGCAGTGAAATTATAATCAAGCTTGCCTCTTTGCAGAACTGGGCATCATGATTGTAGGACACTGAATATAATTGTAGATGGTTGATATGTTGGTTAATTCTGCTTTTTTTTTTTCCCCTCTTTTTAAAAGTATTTTTTATGAGAGAAAACCCTCTGGGTTATCTCACATTTCTCTCTGAGCCTTGTGAGAGGAGGAAAGGGAAAGGATATATTAGGAAATGTGCATGATGTAAAAACAAAAGATCAATAAAAAATTTTAGGAAGAAAAAGTCAGAGCTAGAAAATGAATAAATGATTAAAAATATGTTATCTGAGAATATGATTTAAAATCATATACTGTGGGCTAAAATAATTATGATGGGCTCTTGGCTAGGAATGGAACACACTCAGTAAAGGGCTGGCAAAAATGCATTTATCTGGAGTCTTGCCTCTGTAATCAAAAGAGATTTAAAATGAAAAGGGATGAAGAGAGAAGCATGCCTGTAATTATCTACACCAAGCTAGATCCCATGGATAGTAGCTATAACACAAGGAAAAGAATAGCAGTTAAGTCACCCAACAGTTTACAAAATACAAAATTCAGGAAACAAAATCCATGACTTTAGGTACCCATTATATACATGCAGAAAGTACATGCAATAAGCAAAGGGAACTAGAGACAGAAATGCAAACAGGTCAAATTTCACATTGTGAGTATTACTGAGATCTGATGTGGTGGGACCTATATCTGGAATATAGTTCTGGAAAGGTAGGGGTCATCAAAAGAAATAATAAATAAAGGTATGTAGGGTAACACTGTATAAAATCGATCAGCTGTATAAAAAGATCAACTGACCTAAGGGTATCTGGTAATGTAAGGGGAGAGCATTTGCGTGACTATCAAGAGAAAAGGAGAGAAGCAATATTGTTATGGTGGTATACTCTAGACAACCAAGACAGAGAAGCTGAAGAGTTCAGCAAACAACTTACAAGTCTGACACAGAGGTACGATATGGTGATGATGCCAAAACTTTATCCAGGCACCTGCCGGAGTTCTTTCTTTGCCAGAATAGGAGCAGCTAATAACTTTTTGGCTTACCTTAATGATTAATTTCATTCTTAAAAAAAATGAAGTGGATGAGGTGAATTGCTTTTGAAAGTCTAATTCTGACCAACAAAAATGAAATGGCAAGTGAATTAGAAACAATAGGAATATTGATGGTAAGAGATCACTTCATATTGTAATTCATGATAGAGAAGAAAAGGAAAGTCAGGCATATGTGACACATATCCTAAATAGGGGGAGAGAAGATTTCAAATGGTTCAGAGAAAGGGTGAGTAGGATTCTACAAACTAAAATTCTACAGAGGAAGACAACGTAGAAAGAATTGCAAAACTCTAAAGAATGAAATTCTGAAGGTAAAAAAGTTCTGATAAAGAAGAAAAAAGGAAGCTATTTAAAGAGAACAGTATGAATGCAAAAGGAAATTATTGACTTTTTTTTTTTACCATGATATATTTTTTTAAAAATTAGAAGATAGAATCAAGGCTGCTTAATAGGGGATGAATACATGGGTGTGACAACACATCTAAGAATAAAGTCAGGAACACTGAATCTCAGAATTAAGCCAGAAGGAAAGCTAAATACAAGCCAAAGTGCTTAAAAAAAATTATTCTATAGAAAAATGTTGATGAAAGAAGGGATAAGACCACTACCTCAGGGTAAATATGAGATAACAGGAAGAAAGGAAAGAGTGAGTGGGAGAAAGGGAGGAAGGAAGGAGAGAACAACAGGGAGAAATGGAGGAAGAAGGAAGGAGGAGAAAGGGAGGGAAGAAAGGAAAAAAAGAAAGAAGAGAAGAAAACAGCATTTGAGTATTTACCATGTGCCAAGAACTCTGCTTAGCCCTGGGAATGTCCAGACAAGCATAAAGATAATCCCTGCCCTCTAGGAGTTTACGTTCTTTTTTTTTTATTTTTAAAAATGTTTTAGACTTAAATACTAAAACTTAAATACACAATAGAAAAAATAAAAAAAGAAGCATATAAATTTAAATATTGAAACTTAAATACAAAATAAGAAAAGAAAAAAAAAAGCATGTCCTGTGCACAGCAGAACATAATAAAGGATTCAAAATATATAGCAATAAATTTCCATTTCAAGAAAGCCTATATAATAAATGCTACTTCTTGTGTTGAAAACTGTCCATCTTTTCTTTGCTTTCTTGTAAGTTTTCTTTTGTTCTCTGCTACGCACTTTTTACTTAGTTCTTTTTCCCCCCTTCCTCTCCAACTCCCACCCCAGAAGGCACACACACATCTATAGACATGTACTTTCCCTAACAAATTCTATTCCTGATCTTTGTTTTTATGTTTGTGTGTAAGGAGTTTACATTTTTTTGGGGGGAAGATAATACACAAATAGGAGCTGAAGGTGGGGGAGGAAGAGCAAATAAAGGTATTTGAAATGAAATCTTGTTTCACTTCTGCTTTTTCCTCTGTGGAAAATCATCTTTGGATTGGAAAGAAAAGTAAAGGAAAAAAAGTTGATATAAGGGGCCTGAAATTCAAGATAAAAAGATTAAAAAAAAAAACCAAACCGTACCTGTTCTTAAAAAGTTAATGTTACCAACCCTGGATGAATTACATGCCAGGGGACTGAAAGAAATGGCTGGTGTGATTGTTGAACCACTGTAAATAATCTTTAAAAGGTTACAGAGAGCCCATTAGCATCCTCACCTAGTGTTCTCTAAACCCCAGGACACCAGCTACTAGAGTATTCAACAAAAACTGCTGGGAAAATTAGAAGGCAGTCTGGAACAAATTAGGCTCAGACTCACCTCTAATACTGTCTACTACAATAAATTCCAAATGGACACCTGACCTCAGTAGAAGCAATTTAGAGAAGGCGGGGATATACTTTTCATAAATGTGGCTAATGAGAACAGTTTGTGATCTGTCCGATTGTGTAACTCTTTGTTAAGATGAAGAGCGCGCTTCACCAAACTTCTGGATTTTCTTAAAAATTGTTTTCCTTACAATATTGTAGTCATTGTATAAATTGTTCTGGCTGTGTTCACTCCTCTCTGCATCAGTTTATACAAGCCTTCACAGGTTTCTCTGAATCTCAACCGTTCATTATTTCTTATGAAGCAACAATATTTTATTACATTCAAATACCATAATTTATTCAACCATCTTACATCTCATCTCACAACCTCCTGACATCATCCCCCATTATTTCTTCCTTTATTCCACTCTGATGGAAAGAGGTGACTTTTCTCCTCACCTCTCTATGCAACCTTGATCCCATTACCTACCATATTCTGTAGCAAATTGCCTCTACTATCCTCCCCACCCTCATACCTTTAATCTCTCCTTATACAGATTTCCTTCCTTGCTATTTACAGACATACCCAAGTTCTCCCTCATTATAAAAGAAAAGAAACAAAACCCATCACTAAATCTTTATATCTTTCCTCTTTTTCTCAGCCAGAGTCCTTGAACAAGATGTCTTTTTGGTGCCTCAGTTTCCTCTCCTCTTTGTTCTTTACCCCCTGCAATCTGGCTTTCCGCCTTATCACTCTGAAATTTCTCTCTCCAAAGTTACTTATGATCTCTAATTGCCAATTCAAATGGCCTTTTTTTCTGTCTTCATCCTTCTTGAACTCTGCAGGATTTGATGCTGTTAATCACTTTTTCTTTGTACCATCTTTTCTCTGGGTTTTCATGGTGTTACTTTCTCGGGGTCTTTTCCAGCCTCTGCTTCTTCTCAGTCTCATTTCCTTGATCACCACTCACTGTTATTCCCATTAACTGTGAATATAGCCCAAGCCTTTTTCATGGGTCTTCTTTTTTTGTCTTCTACATTCTATCACTTGATATACTCATGTGCTCCCACAGATATAATTATTGCTATTTATATGATTACGTAGATGATCCATTCTTGGTCTCTCTACTGGGCTCACATCCCACATCACAAACTTCCTTTTGCGTTCCTTCAAAGTGAATGTCATATAGCCACCCTTCTCAACCATGGAATGTCCAAATCTAAATTCATTGTCTTCTCCACCAGACTTGATCTGAATTTCCCTAATAGTGTTGAGTGTACGACCATTCCTCCGGTCACCTGGTTTTGCAATTTTGGTATCATCCTTGACTCCTCAGTTTCACTCGTTCTATATATCCAATTAGTTGCAAAATCTTATTTCTGTCTCCATAATTTCTCTTCCATATATATACCTTCTATTCACGTAGCTACCACTCTTGGATTTAGAACATCCTCACGTCTCACTTGGACTATTGGAGTAGCCTTTTTGTTCTATCCACCTCAAGCTTCTCCCTGCTCCCTTTTCTCCTCCACTTAGCTGTCAAAATGATTTTCTTAAAACACGGTTCTGATCTTGTCTCCTCTTACTCAAGAAAGTCAAATGACTCTTAATTGTCTCTAGTGTCAAATATGAACTCCTCTGTCTGGTATTTAAAACTCTTCACAACCTGACCCCTTTTTACTTTTCCAATGTTCTTATAAATTACTTTCCCTGACACGTTCTGGGTTCCAGCCATTTTGGCCTAATTACTTTCCCTCACACGTGATGTTCTGATGTTCTGTCAGCATCCTTCATGGATTTTCCCAGTTGATCACCATGCCTGGAAAATTCTACCTCCTCACTTCTGCCTCCTGAAATGCCTCAAGGTACACCTCAAATTCCACCTTCTTTATAAAGTCTTTCCTAGTCCTACCAGCTATATAAGGAGCCAAACTACTTTGTGTTCATTTTATTTAACTTATGTGTGCATGTATGTATATATCCACACAAACACATATACACATACATTCTGTTTCCCCAGTTAGAATGTAAAGTCCTTTTTTTTTTTTTAGGTCATTATTTCATTTTTTTCCTTTTATCTCTGGCACTTAGCACAGTTCCTTTCATATATTAAGCACTTCATAAATGCTTGTTGATGGATTGATTTCTATCACATCAACATGCCTTAAATTATTTACCCATTACCCAATCTGAGGGCATCTACTTTGTCTCCAGCTCTTTGCTACTATAAAAAGTGCTGCTGTAAACATTTTCTGATGTTTCTTTTTATCATTGACCTACTTGGGATGTACTTGTACTTGATTCACAGTGGGACCTAAGGGTGAAAGAGTCACTTAGTCATTTTCCTCTCATTGTTTCAAATTGCTTTCTAGAATATTTAGGCCAATTCACAGCTCAACCAATGGCATACAAAGGCGTCTGTTTTTGACCATCTGGTAATTGGCAACTTTCTGCTAGTGGCCCAATTGATGGGAAAGATTATTGTTTTAAAATATCTATGTCTGGACACAGAATTACAGTTATTTGCATACACACCATTTTTATTTTTCTGTATATAAAAATTAGGATACCAATTTGTTTTTGTTTTTGTTCTTTTTTTTGGGTCCTCTACAGGAAGGTAACCAGGAAACATTTGATTTTTGGAAGGATATTCTTGCTAGTATACACCATAATTATAAAATAACAGCTTTTAAAGGTGAGTTTCTTGGAATGTTATCCAAAGTTTTGGTGAATTAATTAGAAGTTGCTTTTTCTTTTTTTCTCTCAATTAGATTGTCGTCATTTAAATGTTATATTCTGTATTACATTTCTTGGTTAATCTTTTTGTGAACTGAAGTATGTGTTATCATAATAAATGTTATTGTCTCGGTCCTACTAGTGTATTTTGAGTAGCTGGCTACTTATGTTGCCTGTGTGCTCCCTAGTGTGAGGGCCTTGATTTTGATATTCCCTGGCCAGGGTATCAGATTGAGGATTGCTGTGGCTGTTGGCATGGACATGTAAATCTAGTTCAGTACCAGGACAGCCTCTGGGAAGGTGCCTGCTCATGAAACACCAACCACTCTTGTTTGAGAAACAATGTTGGCTAACCCACAACAAGGGCAGTAATACCTGAAGGTAATGAATTGAATGTTAACCCAGATATTAACTGTCTAAGTCAAGAGTCTGCCATCCTTTACCTATACTCACAGAATGACAGTTACCTACTTTTAAAAAATTGTTTTGTTTCATTGTTTCCTAATTTTGTGATAGGCTATCAGGAATGAAAATGATATAAGCTGGGAGCTATACTTTTGCCACTTTTCTGAGTCTGAGTGTTTTTCTACTTTTAGTGACTCTGTCATGTATTAGTTTTGAATTTGCTAGGCTACTCTTGGTAACTTGAACTGATAGAAATTTTTTGGGAGGTGGGAGTGGGATGGCTGACTTCTTTGCACCTCGTTGTGGGCATTTGAGTGTTAATTTCTCAGCAACAATGTGGCTCAGGACTTCACCTTTTATTATAGTTGATGACACTTTTTAATTGGCTAATTGCTTTTATTTGTTATTTAATTGGCTAATTGTTTTATTTGTTATCATGCTGTGATAACAGCATTGTGATAACAGATGAGTATCAATGAAGAAGCCAGGCCCAAGTCAGCTTTTAAAGATATCCATCAGTTTATTGGTTTACATTCTGTTAACTTTGAAAAACAAAAAGCATTGAAAATAGCAAATATGCTGGTTTTAGATGAATTTGACCTAAAAATCCATTTTCTTGGTTTTGTTGCAATATAATTAAAGAGTAGGTGAAAACATTTGTGCTTTCAAAAGGTTCTGGCTTATCATGGGATTTTTGAAACAGCAATATACAAATATGACAGAGCATAAATACTCTCTATTTAGACTGTTTAAGACTTTGATGCTAGCTGTAATTCCACTGAAATTCATGGAAATGGAAGACTTGCAATAGACTAATGTACTGTAAATACTTCAGAAATGTCATTTGTAAAAAGTATCCAATGAACAAAACATTTCACATAATGAAGCCAAGAAACCCAGTAATGAAAGGTACTTTCTAGTGACAGAAACAGTAATCATCATGTGAACCAATTGATTGCGCACAGCTTTCATCTGCACCAACTGCCTTAAGTAAATGAACTGGAAGGAAATGCCACCATTTCACGCTCCAACTTGAGACGGTCATCTTGTCACAGGACATCTTTCCATACTTTGAAGGTAGCAACTAAGAAGACTTTTTAGCTACCAAATGAATTTTTGAGGTGGTTGAATTGAATAAGCACCTTGTGTAGCAGAAATGGATTAACATAATAGGGTGTTTTGTTTTGTTTTTTAGTTTGGCTAGAATACTTTTACTTTATTATTCATAAAAGCACCATTGTAGGGATACATATTTGAACGCACCCTTCTCAGAATGCACCATCAGAAAGTGCTGTAGGGTACAGCACCTTTCAAATGTGTGTGTTCAAGTTTACTAGCGATACAGTACCTTTTTCTAAATGTCTCCAAAATGTACTAATGTTAGTGGCTAGATTTTGGCATGTTTTGAAAGATATTGTCAAATTTCTGAAATCAAATCTTAGACTAAAAATCCTTTTCTTCTAAGATTCTTATTCTTGTGTTTGGGTTAGGTTTTTTTTGGCGTTAATAATGTTTTTTTGTAAAGCCGTCAATCAAAGGGCCAACTCTTCTCTTTTCAGATATGATTTGGATGTTGGCATATATTTCACTTTTAAGATAAATTGTATAGATTGTTTTACATATTTAAGATCAAAACAGTTTCAGTGTGGGCTTTAAAAGTGTTCTTTAAAATTTGAAGTTTTTGTTTAATTTACTTTTAGACAGATAAGAAACGTCCACATTGTGTAAAAAAAAAATGTGCTTAAGTTAGCTATATTTTTAGCTTGAAAATTCCACCATTACATTTCTGTATGCTGTTAAGAATTTTATATAAAAGATTCGGGTAAACTCAGCAGTTTCTGATGGTTAAAATGAATCTCTTGAAGGCTATTATGTAAATTCATCTACTTTCATTCTAGAAACTTGTTGTCTCTAAAAGATGATTCTATGGTGAGGCTATGTTTCTTCCTTTTAGTGAATTACAGTACAGGTAGAGTGAAATTTCACAATATCACATGATTTCACATAAAACATTAGGGTATCTTAGACATAATTACTAGAAATCCTTAAAATGAAAGTGATCTTCATATGCAATTTACTATATTGTTTTTCAGCTTATGTTTCTAATGGTAAATTCCCATTTCCCAGACATTTGAAAAGTAGTCAATTTTTACAATGTTTTGGCTGTTGGAGGGGTGTGATTTCTAGGAAAACATCTCATTAAAAACGTTTTTCAGGCAGACAATGTAGATTAGCTGTGCAGGCTGTTTTTATATTAAGGCAAATAAAAATCCTGAGAAAGATGAATGAACATACTCAGAAGAATATAAACCATTGGATTCTGCATTTGGTAGCTGTAGCCATACTTGATCATTTTCTATGAGATCTATGACAGTACTCCCTGAAGCCTGATCTAAGTATCCTTTTGTATATTCATCATAGGTGTACATTATGGGGGTACCATTCTTATACAAGCCTATCCACACATGATTCCCTTTCACATGTACGTGGTAGGAGAAGTAGTATAGACCTGGTATCCTACAAGTAAAAATTCCAGTTCTTGGATCATAGTGCTGTTGCCTGTTATAGACAATTTTGTCAAATGGAATTGGAGTGCCTATTGCTGGGTAGGCTTTGGAGAGAATAACTGTGAAAGCTGACACAGGCATTCCTGTTATACCCTGATTTGCACTTACTAGAGGTGTCCCTGATAAGCTTGGCCTTTGACCAGCTTTTATAAAGCCCTCTGGCATGACTGCTTGACCTGGTGGGCCTGGAGGTCCTGGGGGCCCTGGGCGTCCAGGCTCTCCATTATGACCTCTTGGACCTGGTAGCCCTGGTGGCCCCATTGGTCCATTGAGTCCTTTAGTTGCAATACCAGCTGGGCCAGGCAGGCCTGGACTTCCTGGATCTCCTTTAGTCCCAGGGAATCCTGGAATTCCTGGTGGCCCAATTGGGCCTCTTGTTCCTGGTATTCCAGGGGCTCCCCTAGGACCTGGCTCACCATTGTGTCCTGGTATGCCCTTAGCACCAGCTGCTCCTACAGGGCCTGGTAAACCAGGAGAACCCCCCAATCCAGTGTCCCCTTTTGGGCCTGGCAAACCTGGGTTGCCCTTGGGACCATTGAGACCTGGTTCTCCTGGGTAGCCTGGTTTTCCTTCTAACCCAGGTAGGCCTCTATCTCCCTTGGCTCCTGGGGACCCTGCAGGGCCTATTGGGCCTGCCTCCCCTTTAGAACCAGGAATGCCATGGTTACCTGGTATTCCTTTTGGTCCTTGGGGTCCCATGCGTCCTGGGGGCCCATTCAAACCTGGTTCCCCTGGGTGACCTGCTGGACCTTGTTCCCCTTTGACTCCCGGAGCCCCTGGAAGGCCTTCAGGTCCCCTCTGCCCTTTCATCCCTGGTAAACCTGGTTTACCAAATCCAGGTGCACCTGGCATACCTGCTATTCCTGGAGCTCCTGGAAGACCTTTGGTTCCAGGTGTCCCTGGCAATCCTGGTGCCCCATTGACTCCTGGCTTTCCTATTCCTGCTGCTCCAGGTTCTCCACGAGGACCTTGGGGACCTGGTAGGCCAGGAGGGCCAATTTCCCCTGGGAAACCTCTATCTCCTTTAGCACCAGGCTGTCCTGGAAATCCATTTTCTCCCCTTTTCCCTACTCCAGCAAGCCCTGGAGGTCCCATGGGACCCTGTGGACCTGGATGACCTCTCTCACCTGGCCTTCCAGGAATTCCATATCCATTTTCCCCCTTTTGTCCATTCATACCAGGGATGCCTGGTACACCTTTTTCTCCAGGAAGACCCCTAGGTCCTGGAGCCCCTGTTGGCCCCTGTGGTCCTGGTTTGCCTGGAACAGATAGGCCAGCGGGGCCAGGAATTCCAGGAGGTCCTGGCGGGCCTCTTGGCCCTGGCAAACCAGCAGGTCCAACATTTCCTTTCTCTCCGTATGGTCCTCTCTCACCTGGCTTTCCTGGGAGACCTGGTAAGCCTGGTTTCCCAACTGCAGACAGTCCTGGTGGTCCTGGCATACCTGGCTGTCCTTGAGGCCCTGGGCTTCCATAGCCTGGCTTTCCTGGAGGTCCAGAAGGTCCAGGCTGTCCACGGGGGCCTGTGGGGCCTGGTGGTCCAGGAAGACCTTGTTCTCCTCTAATTGGTATGCCTAAAAGACATTAAACACACACATACACAAAATGGAAAAATTAAGATTTTTTGTGGAAAAAAATCACTGTTCCTAAATTATAAATCATGAGGCTGAAAAAAGTTTTTGGTGCCATCTAATTCATTTCCCTGTGTTTAGGAATAATCCAAACCAAACTCTCAACAAAATGAAAATTCATTTTAAAAGTCAAATCGAGAAGGTGAATTTATAACTCTCTGGTAACCTATTACAGTATCTTAATAACAGAGTACTGTAGATACTTTCATTCATTACAACTTCTAATGGGCTATAATGGGATTGTGAAATCCATTCACTTTAACAATTCAATAAGCATTCATTAAGTGCTGATTTTATGAAAATCCTTGTGCAATGCACTGGAAGTACAAAAATTAAAAAAAAAATAGTTCTTGGCCTCA